ATAAGCCAAAATATAAATCTATCATTTTTATATTTTTTATGATTTTCAATATTAACAAAAATATATTTAAGAAAATAAAATGAGAATAAAACAAATAAATAAAATGATAATGGGCCAGGGGTGTCACAAGTAAGCAGGGTGTAAATGTTAGGAAAAAAATCCATAGGCCCATGAAACAGAAGCCAAGTGCTGCAAGGGACAAAAAAAGTGGGAAAATGTGAGAAAATGCAAAAGGTAGCGCGCTGAGGCTCGAACCCATGACCTCTAGCAATTACGCGCGCTGCCTTACCACTGGGGTGGCTGTACATCCGTTTATATAAACAAAACCACAAATATATATTCGAAACTGCTTCCTGAAGGAAATTTCATCTTCAACCTTGAGCCATGGCCGGACCACTTGTATCTTCCTCATTTCTCCATAAAAATGGAAAGTTCAAAAATGAAAATTGTGGTGTTTCTTCCCACGAGTTCAAACATATAACTTATGGAAACTAAAAGTCAAAGATAAAATATAATTTTACTGGACCTAATTTGAAACCTAATTTTTGCAGAAATTTCAAATCCAAAATTCTCTATACACAGTTAATATAAATGAAAACTATGAACATGGTTAGCTTTAGAGCAAGGATATCTACATTTTGCTTTCACAAATCAGGACCAAATGATGCTTGTATGAAGAGATAGAAGTTTGAATTTTTACCTCTTGCAACTGGAATCGTGAATGGAGTTTGAGCAAGTTTTGAGAAGGCCTGGGGATCTTTTTAGCTTGCCTGGACCTCCTTGAGTGTATTTCAACCCTTACTTTATCCTGAAAGTCCCTGAATCTCTCTACTCAAGTCAACCTGCAAGCTTGATATTTGAAAATGATGGATGGTGAAGAAGGAGCTACAATATTGAAACAGGGGCCTGGATCACTTTGATATGATGTATATTAAGTGTTTGGGTGGTTAAAACTCAATATGCACAAGTAGATTTGGAGATGGCTATGTGAGGTTCAAAACTGTCAAGCTATGGAAGATTCTGAGTTGCAAAGTGTTTGGGATTGTTTTGGAGTCTTAGCATTTGTGTGTCAACTTGCAAATAGTGTGTATACTTATAAGCAAAAGGTCTTACGTCTTATAACAACTCATATTTCAAAAACTCACATATTTTGCTTGGTTACTTGTTTTTGAAGCAAGGCTAGCAAGCATGGTTTCAAGGTGTAGTACCAAGCTTGTAGGGGGGCTGAGACCTTTAAACATACTTGTTCTTATTGAGTGGAGTGTTTTTATGAATAAAAAACAAGTGCAAGGCTCAATGCAAGCTGACTTTGCATAAAGCTTGCTTTTCCAAAATGGCAATGTTGCCTTTCTCCCAAAAATGAAATTATTCTTGTACAATGCATTCAATGCTTGGCTTAAAGCTTCCAACAGCTGTGAAAACATTTAACTATGGAGTGAAAGTCAAGTTAGAAGCCTGCAAAGTAGGATTTGTTCATCATGCTTGAGGATTGGATCCAATGTTCTTCAAGAAATGGCTTGAAATCCAAGTGACAAATCACAAACTTTATCTCTTCGATTCTCCATACTCAAGAATGATCTCAAGGAGTTCTTGGAAATTTTAGAAAGCTTGCAATGTGCTATACAACTAATCTTTAAATTTCTTTTGAAAATTACTCTTGGAACCATGTGAAAAATTGCCATGAAGTTAGGTCAAAAATCTTCCTAACTAGGGCAAAATTTCAGTAAGTTATTTTTAGTTCATGAGCATGTATTCACAAAATTATATCTTGAGATCCAAGCATTTTTAGGAGAAATTGTGTGAAGTAAAGTTGTAGATTTCATGGAGATCTACAACTTTCATGTTGGAAGATTCCTTTGAATCATCTTGAATCATGGTGAAAATTTGGCTCAAAGTTGAGAAAAAATAAGAAATTTTCTATACTTTAAAAAATTTCTAAGTTAAGAAATTTCAACTTTTCAAAAGAAAACCTTAAATCCTTGATTTCTTGATGGAAAAGTTTCATATTTTGACATGTTTTGATGAATTATGACCTTTGTCACTTGACTTTGACCAAAAGGTCAAAGTTTGACTTTTCAGTATACAGTTGACTTTTGATTAGTTGACTGAAAAATCCATCTGTCAATCCAATGGATTGGTAATGTTTTGAATCATGTTATTAGGTAAAAATGATGCAATTGAACTCTTGGAATCATGCTTCAAACCAATTGATCATTTACTAGGTCAAAAATCAGAAATTTCCCCTTTCCCATTCAAAACCCTAATTTTGACCATTTTGCCCTTTTGATGATTTGATCAAATTTCTTGAGGAATTATGGTCCAAACTTGATCAAATGATACATATGAGTCTAAGATGTTTATGTGGATAAAAAATTATGAAGTTTGACTGTAAATTGCCCATGGTTGACTTTTTCCCAATACAGTTGATTTTTTGGTCAATTATTCAATTGACTGATCAAAAGTGTGATTCAAGGCTTGAAACTTGACATGAGTAATCATGGGGGTCCATAATGGTCCATGAAAGTCATATGAAGTATTGATAGTCCAAAAATCCTTGTGCAAACTCAAACCCTAATTTTGGTCATCAGTGCATGAGGAGGTGTCTTGAGCTGGTCAAACCCTAATGCAATCTTGAGTCAAAGAGATCTTGTGAGAAAATTCTTGATAAGTGAGAGGGAAAATTTTGGGGTACAACACATGGCAGTTAGAAACGTCTTAAAATTGTTGTTTTCGGATTTTGAAATATTTACCACCGAAAAAATTACCAGGTTGAGTCACAGACTAGGTCACTCTCTTTAAGACGTTTCGCGGTATTGCTCAAAATTATGCAAAGCAGTCGAACTACCGCACCGCATCCAGGATAAAACAACCAAGTTCTTTACTACTTGCATGGTAGATAATCGATCTAGAAATACACCATCTGATGATACATGACCGTTCAAATATGGTATCAATACCACTCGTAGTATCTAGTACAAAGACTAGTTGAAATAATTTCTCAAACAAAGAGAAACTCTTATAATTCTTCAAAGAGAATTTAATAATGATCATTTGACCACTCATAATAATTTCTCCAACAAAGAAAAATTCAAATAATTCTCAAAAGAGAATCCAAAAATTAATACTTGAAAATTTTCTCAACTCAAATGAGGAAAAATTAACATAATTCTCTAAAGAGAATTCAAGAAAATACTCGGAAAATTCAACAAGTAGGAAGAAAGGGGAAGAAGATGACGCTTCAACAATTCGAGAGACGCAAAGTTATGAGAGTGAGGAAGAAAAAACTAATAGAATAATTTTTGGTGTGATTTGGAATGAAACATGTGTACTCCTTATATATTGAAGTAAGGTAGTTAATATTTCTCACATGAACAATGTGGAACTAAATTAGTTTTTTCAACCGAAAAGATATTCTAATAATGTGGAACTTGAGAAATTTTAAATTCAACATATTGAAACATGGACATGTTCTAACAATAACTGTTAATTTAATATAAAGAGAGAGAAAAATATTTAAAAATTGAAAGTTTGAAAGTGTATCTACACCATATACAAACTACTTAAATATTGTGAAATATAAATATTTATTAATTTATTTGAAGAAAAGAGAAAAATTCTTAAAAGTAAAATAACATTAACTAACCCTTAAAACTATCTATTAAAATGTATATGGATGAGATGGTAAATAATCTCTTTCGATTTAATCAGGAAAAATTTCACATGACGAGATATTAAATCTCAACTGTCTATTTTAATCAAACAGTTGTTATTTTTTCTCTCACTCTCGTATAAGATTATCATTTTTCACTAGATAAATTCCTTTTATAACTAATACATCTCACTTATTATATAGATCACATACATTATATATTAGTTATTCAGTAAACTAAAAAATAATTTAATTTGATTTTTATATTGAAGAATAGAGAAAATAATATTAATTAAGATATGATTACATTCTACTATTAAAAAAAAAAGATTATAGTATAAAAAAATCATACTTGATTTGAAAATTAATTATAATTAACATTATTCTCAAAATAGGATAATACGTTATACTATAATAAAATTTGTTTTGATGAGAGGTTACAATTTTTATGATTGCTTATTCAAAGGTAGTCAAACTATTTTTTTTTATAATAAAGTCAATTTAATAATAATATTGAAAAATAAAATGAATGAGGGGATATAAATTTAATTTAACCAATAAAAAATAGTAAAGATGAAAGTTGAACATGTTTCAGTTGTGTTTAATTTTTTATTTTATTAAATTAATTTTTTAATTAATTGAAATGACATTAATGTCTATCTTACAATTTTTACATGTTATAAAGATTCAAACTCTAAGGTGTGGGAAAAGGTGGGAAGATGGTTGGGAATAAGGGTGGCTAACCATGGGAGCCTTCTTGGGCATTTTAGGGATTGGAATGTAGCAATGTATAGGAGAAGGGTGGATATTAAAAATGCGGCTGGTTTATGGTTGACAATATGTTGGTGTTTGTGAATTTGTAGGAACAATATCATATTCAGGAGGAGTTTTGGGATGATGAGGTGGATTGGAAAGAAACTAAAAAAAGCATACACTTGTAATTATTATTAATGGATTAATTTTCCTTGTGAATTTTTGTAGGTCCTCATTATTGAGGGAGGGTGGTTGATTTTGTAATGTGGATATGAAAATAAATACTATAATATTTTTCTAAACTCTATCGATTGTCTAGGAGATGTCAACTCATTGAGAAAATCTTAATATTGTATTCTCAAATAAATCACCATAGAGAGAATTTATAAATAAAATTCAATAAAAAAACAAATGATAATAAAATAATTAATAAAAATCATGTTGAAAAAGTAGTATTATATTATGTTAAAAATCATATTATATGTTTTTAAAAAAATCTCTTCACATAATTTATTTCTCCTTTATTCATATAGATTTTGTATTATTTCAATGATAAAAAATATAAGAAATTACATCATAGAAGTACTATTTGCATCCACTAGTTAAATGCCGCCTTCCATTTTCGACATTCCTCATATCCTTTAAAATCGTTACAACCACCAGTTGTATTTATTTTCCAACTGCAAACTTTGCAGTCATCCACAGCTTGATTGTAAACGTTAAGATAGTGAGGATTGGGGTTTCCTTTCCATGTAAAGCTACAAAAGAATAAAGTTTGACCTAATTTTGGAAAAAATAATGGTCTAAACTGAAACGAGTAAGTTCCTCCAAATGCAAGTGTGTGAAATCCAAGATCATCATTTTTTGATTTGCAATGAACAATGAGATCTAAAGCGGTTGGATGTGGGGAAATATCATTCCTAATTATAACGGTTTTGTGAGAAAAAAAAGAGAAATCCCTAGCCTCGGCTCCTAGTAAAACTATTAACAATACTGAAACTTTCAAGGTAATTGAGTTTTGATATGCCATAGCTAGATGTATAATACATTCGAGGCTTATATCAATCTTAATTTATAGCACAATGAACGGTCAAGCCTACTTCTTTTTCAATTAATTTTAAAAATAAATATTAATAAATAATTCGATACTATGCAAGGATACAAATATATTATGCACATTTATTTTTAAAAGAATTTATTATTGAAATAAAATTGTTTAATTGAAAATTTTTATTGTCAAGATAAAATTGTTTAATTAAAAAAAATTATTATTTTTAAAACAGTTAGTAAATTCGTGTCTATAATTTTTTTAATATATAAAAATAATTTAATTAATAACATATTTGTTTCATATATAAATATTATTTTTATTTTGACATTATTTATAAAAAAATTAAATCAATAATAAAATTGTTTCAGTATATAAATTTTAAATTTTAATTTTTTTGGAGATCAAGTCAAAACTATTTAAAAAAAATAATCAAATATATTAGAATTAATTATACACCTTTAAAATTATTTTTGATTCTTTTTAAATAAAGATTGAAGATGGATTTATCAAATTATTAAAGTATATTTATAAAATATTAAAATATGATTAATTATAATGAACTATACAACATATTGATTAAATTATAATGAACTATACAACATATTAATTATAATGATTATACAACATATGGATAATAAAAAATAGGGTGAGATTCTTCTAATTAAAGGAAAATAAATTTCTTAATTTTATACAAACAATTATTTATTAAAAAACACACCATAAAAAATTAAAGAAACAATAAATTTGTAAGAATATATTAAATTCGTAGAAATTGTTATAAATGACATAACTGTGGATGTCAATCAATTGATAGATTTCATATTGATTTTCTATTTATTAAATATATCTTATAAATATGACTCATAACAAGGAATGATAATATGAATAATAGAATATACTTTCTTCTTTCTCTTCTATTATTTTATTCAGTTTCGCAACATGCAACACGTTATTAGCACAAATCTCTAAGACTTGAAAGATTATAATATATTTTCTAGTTGTAATTTATAGTATATTGATTAGAAAAAATAAAATTAATGATGATTATCAAGCATCTCTGAAGGATAGAAAAAAACATTTATATAAGTTTTTGAAGAACTCATCTAGCATTCTTAAAGGATAGCAAAATAACAGTATATAGTTTCTAGCATCTCTGAAGACTAATATTAACAATTCCGAAGGATTGAATCTATAATATTAACAAATCACAAAATGATTGCACCTATAATATTAATGAATAATAATATTATCCAATTTGAGAAAGATTGAAAGAATAATATTGAATATCTCAGAAGGATTTCATAAATATTTTTTGTTATTCGGATCTAAAAATTTGTAATAGACTTATAAAATGTTGTCATTCTATAAGAATGACACAAATAATTTTAACACATCCTAAAATGACGATTATATTTGTTTGATCATTGTTTATAACAAATAATTTTAACGCATCCCAGAAGGATGGTTATATTTTGTTTAAGAACATTGCTTATAACCAATAATTTTATACCATCCCGGAAGGATGGTTATATATATTTTTTAGATTATTGTTTATAACAAATAATTTTAACGCATCTCAAAAGGATAATTATTTTTATTTTTTTAAATTATCATTTATAAACTAATAATTTTAATGCATCTTAGAAATATGATTATATTTATTTTAGATTATTATTTATAAATATTTATATTATGTTCAAAAAAATTCTCTAACATTTGACGGTGTTAGAAACTTATTCAAATTGTTAGAATATAATTTGTTACATATTTGAGATTATAAATCTATATATTTTATGAAGAAAAAAAATCACTATGATTCACTAAGAGTTATATATTTCACTAAAGGATTGACTATATAATAATTTTTATTTTTATAGTTTTTGATGATTGAGTCATTGTCTATGTGTTTGGTGTTAAAATATTTTAAACTAGAAGAAATTTCGTTATGTATAATATATCACTTAATATATTTATGTATCAATTAGTCAATATTATATATTTAGCTGCTGCTATTAAATTTCTAAACTAAGAAACTTTTTTTCCAAATATTAAGGTGTGTTTGATATTTTAAAATAGTTTTTATATTGCTTAACTAAGGTGTGTTTGATATTTTAATATAGTAGTTAATGAATACAATCTTATCACTTTCACTCATTCCCCTATTGACTATTACACTTAATTAGTAATAACGTGGTTCCTATATTTGTATGAAATTTATTTAATTGTTATGATAAAATAAAATTGAATTGTATAGAATTATTTTGCCTAAATGTGTGTGATCTTTATAATATTATAATGAAATACACTTAAATTTAATTTATAACAATTAAATCAAATAAAAATATGTATGTATAGTTTATGAAGATTTATTTATTAGAGAATAATATGGTTGATTCAAATAATTTAGAATAATATATATATATATATATATATATATATATATATATATATATATATATATATATATATATATATATATATATATATATATATATATATATATATATATATATATATAATTGTAAACCAAAAGTTTATAAAACACATTTAAGACAAAATCAGTTGGGTCATCTCGAATGTATTATGATGTGGAAATTAATATTGAATTGAAGAACCTGAAGTTTCTTCAATCCAATAAGTTTTGTATGTTGAGTTTTTATATAACATAAGTAAGATGATATTTGTGAATCAATACAACAATCATGTAGATGATTTAAATATTTTACGATATTAATATTTGTATCGACTTAAAGATAATGTATATATTTGTTTTCTACTCACAACCATAAGTTTGTGATATTATTTACTCAACTAAAAGATCATGAATATCTATTATAATATAAAAGTTAGTATTGAAGAACCAGAAGTTTCTTCAATCCAATAATTAAAATTTTATAAGTTGAGTTTTTATATAACATATGTAAGGTGATATTTGTGAATTAATACATCAATCATGTAGACGATTTAAACATTTTATGATAATTAATTGTTGTATTGATTTAAAGATAATGCATAGGTTTGTTTTCTACTCACAACCAGAAGTTTGTGAAATTGTTTTCTCAACTAAAAGATCATGAATATGTACTATGATGTGAAAATTAGTATTGAAGAACCATAAATTTCTTCAATCTAATAAATTTTGTGAGTTTCTAAATGAAAATAAAATTATAAGAAATTGAGTTTTGCATGACATTAACTATTGCATCAACTAAAATATCATGCAAATATTTATTGTCTACTCACAACCAGAAGTTTGTGAAGTTATTTTCTCATACTAAGATCTTAATTTTTGAAAATTTCAAAACTTTCTTGATAAGCAACACATATATTATTAAATTTAATATTAAACATCTTATAACATATGCTCATAAAAAAATGAACTTGAAGATCCATTCTTTAGACGTCTAAAATTAATTACATGGCCGATACTTATGAGATCATAGGTTATAAATTATACATTAGAAACACATAACCATGAATCTTTAGATATTTATTCACATTAAGCCAACAAGTTATTATATGTTAATTCTCTCATTAAATTACAACTTATTTTAGATTAATAATCTAATACTTTTCATCTAAGTACACTTTTGGATGTGTTGTGTATAATTCAGTTGCTCTGATATAGTACGCTAAGATGAGTTTTGAAAGAATGTTAAGAAAATTCATTTTATATGAATATCGTATTTGAGGTTTATCTTGGTCCGATAATTGGATATGTGCTTGAAGCCCAGTAGACTGATTATGAGTTGATAAATTAATTTTCCTAATATTAGAGAGAGAGAGAGAGAGAGAGAGAGAGAGAGAGAGAGAGAGAGAGAGAGAGAGAGAGAGAATAAGCAGCTCAAAGTGTGAACCATAAGTTCAAATTAACAATTTGAAATAAAATATTATTATATTTTTTTATCCTCGAAGTTCAAAATACAATTCATTTGTAAAGTCTATGAAATAATTATCAGCTACTAATACTCCACTCAAAATGGATTTTCCTATTGGACAATTTAATATTACAAATTAATTGTAGCCGCACCTGAAGCATGGTAGAAAAGTCGACTTTAATGTTAAAATTCCTCTATCAAGAAAAGAAACTAAAGTTAAAGATGATTCAAGTGAGAATATGAAAATTCTAAGAGTACTTTGACATAATTTATTTTTCATTTCCAGAAGAACTAATCAAGTAATTGAAATATGAAATAAAGAGATCTAAGTAAATTACGTCATGGATGAAATAAAATGGAACCAAAATTAAGATAACCAAATAAAGTCGGTATTGACAATGTATTTGTATACAATATAGCGCTAAAGATGATAAACAATAACGAGGATCATGAAACAAAGTCTACTAAAGATTGTACACAAAGTGAGAATTGGTCAAAATGAACAAATCATGAATCAAAGTCTATCAAAGATTATAGATAAAGTGAGAATGACCAAAATGAACAAATCATGAATCAAAATTTATCCAAGATTATAGACAAAGTGAGAATTGACCAAAATAAATATATTCAATTGAAGATTAATTAAACTCACTTTAAAAGCGAATCATTTTTGGACTTGTAGTCTGAATACCCCATGGTATGAAAATAATGAGATATAAATGAGTTTTTGTGAAAAAACAAAATAAAAATTGTATAAAGTTTGATTTGTTGCTCAATGATTTTCACAAAGACCTAAGATCGAGTTTGATGAAACATATCCACATGTATTAGATTCAATTAATTTTTGATAATTAATTAGTCTTGTAACACATGAAGGGCTTCATTTGAACATGATGGATGTTGTAACTTCTTATTTGCATGGTACAATTGATAAGGACATAAAATTCAACAAATATCTCTATGGGCTAAAACAATATAGACACAAGTGATATAATTTTCTCAATGAATATTTTCTAAGGGAAAGATATACAAATAAGTCCACAAGTCCTTGTATTTTTATAAAAAAATCTAGAAAATAATTTTCTATAATATTTGTCTATG